GCTAGGCTAGGCTAGGCTAGGCTAGGCTAGGCTAGGCTAGGCTAGGCTAGGCTAGGATGGCTAGGCTAGGCTAGGCTAGGCTAGGTAGGTTAGGTTAGGTTAGGTTAGGTTAGGTTAGGTTAGGTTAGGTTAGGTCAGGTTAGGCTAGTAAAGGCTATGTTCTGGATTATTCTGGCCTGTCCATTTCATAAACATACCTAGACATGATAAGAAACATTTTTCATTGCATTATTAGTGTTACCTTGGTCCTGTACATTTTCTATGGTTCTTGATAAGCAGAAATATTGTAATTTTGCAACAATAATGGAGAAACAGCACTGGGGAGTCGAGGCAGCGGTGTGTGTGCGGCATTCAGGAGCTTGCTATTGTAGTTATTAAAGTTTGAAGGTAGGAGCATGAATCTACCTGTTTTAATATTATTTATATGTTCCGCTTTAAACACGACAAATGGTGTAATTTTTTTATAATGTTAGGTACCAATGTATACCTACACCATCAAGTCTCTATGATGCTGTGCAGATAGCTTCAAGCAAAAATTAAAAAAAAAAATTTAAGCAATGCATATCTAAAATTTAACAAACTTGGCACAGCCTGAGTCTGGTACATTCTTGCAGCAAAAACATCACATTTGATGCAGAGAGTGGATTTTTTGTGACTTGCGACTAGGGGAATGATATGCTTATCAACTTCATGTATCACACAGAAACATCATATGATCTCCCTACTTCCCCATAAATGAAGACTTGTGGCAGATGCTTGGATGTACATGCAAGAGCAGACCCTGCCACCTTTTGAGCCATAGATCCATCGCATATGATGTCCAATATGCTGACGATGACAGCGATACTGTCCCCGTTTCACATCATGGACAGCTGTATTTTTATCCTATTCGTTTTACCCTAAGGTATGTGTGCAAAGCGTTGAGCCCGTACTACGATTTATGAACCTTTGATGCATGATGACAATTTGCAGGAAATCCTTTCAGATATCATCTACCACAGTTTTAAAACTAATATGTAGCACTCACCGAAACCAGCCAAACCCCTACCCAACAACTCAGGCGCCAAGCCAAGGCAGCGCCGGCCCAGGCCTCGAGGTTCTACGAGGATCTGCGCTCTTGGGACGATATTCCCACGAACGACGAAGGTCCCAAATCCGAGGGAATACCACTAGGCGACTTGTACACAACGCGTGAGACGCTAGGTGACGTCACTGGGAGTTCCTTCGCCCGCCACGCACTAAGAGCATCAATTTTTTAGGTGATATTGTGTTCCCCGTCCCCTAAGTCGGCATTTGGCCTTGAAGGATAGCCTTGAGCGGTGGAGACTTTTTGACAGACGCTAGTTCTTTCAGTGATGAATTTTCTGACGCTTGCAAGTTAAAAATCGGCCGCTAATTTTTGAGTGGCATGAAATTTATGGTCTCTTGAGCCCGGGTTTGGTCTCAAAAGATGATATTGAGAGCTCAGGACGTTTCGACGGACGCTAGCTCTTAAACCTGTCAATATTTCGTTGTTTTGTTTGCAAGCCTAAAATGGATCGGTAATTTTTGGGTGATATAAAGCTCCTCGTCCTTTAAGCCCGCGTCTTACTTTGAAGGGTCACATTGAAAGGTCAAAACTTTTAAGCGAACGCTAATTTTTTGTCTTGAATATTCTGATGTCGAAATTTTGTGGTGATAATGAGTTCCCCGTCTTTGAGCCCGCGTTTGTTCTTTAAGGGTGACCTTGAGAGATCAGGACTTTTTGACGGTCGCTAGTTCTTGCGCTGTGAATGTTTTGATGTCTGCAGTTTGTAAATTGGCCGGTTATTTTCTGGTGATATCGTGTTACCCGTCCTTTGACCCACCTTTCGACCTCGAAGGTCACATCTTACAAAATAAAGGTCATTTGCGATGTTGTGCCATGTTCTACCTGCAGATCTTTTCAGAGAAATGGGAACGTCGCTGAACAAATCGATAAGTAAATTTGCCAACTTCATGGACATTATAGGAGTAGGGGTTTAAAGACATGGCATATTCGGTTAGAAGGGAACAATTGAATTAGCTAAATTTGTAAGGCGCATGCTTGTCAGAAAAGAACGAAAAGGCGATGATGAGTGAAAGTAATGAGCGTGACTAGATCTTGAGAACGCTGAGATTTTCCAAGGTAGGTTCAGTGCACGGTAAATCCTTACAGCTCAAGTGCAGCTGTTCAGTGAGACGCGTCCGGTGCTGCAAAGTCCTGATTGGACAAGACAGGACAGGACAGGACTGGAAAGGACAGAACAGGACAGGTCAGTATAGGCAGTGCAGGGGCGGACTGGACCTGACCGGACTAGACGTTAGTGCTACGGTCTGCGCCGCCACTGAGACCTGCCATGTTACCACTCATCAGCGGCTACTCATATGGAGCATGCGAAAATATCAATATAAGCATCTCGGCCGCTGGCGCAGCTCCAGCGCGGGCCAGCAGCGAGGCTCCAGCGCGGGCCTCCAATGAGGTTCCAGGGCAGGCTGCCAAGGCTGAGGTACCAGAGACATCAGGTGGGACGGTGAGGTATCAAACAGCCCTATCAGAGGTGTGCTTCTGACAGGGTGGGCGAGGTAGACAACCCTGCCAGAGGCGTGTCTCTGACCGGGCGGGTATCAGAAAACTCTGAAAATCACTCAAACGCATTAGAAAACACGCCGACCTTGAGGGCAGGGCACAGCAGCATTCACGCCCTCAGTAATGTATGCTTACTCCGCTTAAATCTGGGGGTGAGCATAACCACAGTCTGAAAGTTGGAGAGGGCGCAACCTACCTGTTCCTGCGCCTAGGCCCTCTGCAATCATACGCATACTAATTCAAGCGCATGCAGGAGGGCGTAGAGGGAGAAGGCAACGAGTCTTGGGCAGGCTACATTTGTTCCAGGTTGCATCACATTACCGGATTAGCCGGCTAAGACACCTTTGTCTAGATAGGTGTTGAGACGAATACACTGAATAACAAATGTCTTGCATTTCTTCTCCTTTCGACTTATATAACGGTGAACGCACAACCACAACGCAGTACCGCGAATATGCATCGCGAAATATATGGACGCGCTGCCGCCCACAAACAAAACCCACGTTTTCATAGATATATTTCATTTCATACAGCTCACTAAGCCCGACTGACCTAGCTCCACGTGGAGCGGTCAAATTACAGCGAAACCTGGAGGCAGAGTACAGCGGGCCCACTGCCGCAATACGGACCGCAGTCGTTCTGCACTTCGATCGGGACAGCACGCAGACGCCGAATCACGACACTGAAATACACTGTCGTTTGCTTATTGCCATAGGAGCCAGAAAGGGAAGCTGCACCACAAAAGTAACATTCACAGCCAGTAATATTGTTGCCCAACACTATCAAGCGCGACTAGGTATGGCATGCAACTCTTATATTAGAGTGTTCGGTTAAGCCCCATAAGGCCTCACCACGGACCACGCCCGGCCTTCTAAAAGGGTATTTTGAACCTTGCGATGCACAAGGCGTATCTTGGTCCCAGCTGTACACCAATTTATCAAACATGACAAACAAAGAATCAGTTAAACTATGCCCGACTTTCTCTAGGGGTTTCCTCTATAATATTCACCCACATTGAGCACTTAAGTACGCGCTATAAACACGCTACAGAAGGCACATGATAGGCAAGAATGCAACATACTAAACAATGCTAAACCAGTCATTTCTAGAAATAATGATACGGTATTGGATGTGTATCTCGGCACAAACATACACAGCAGCGGTACAACACTTTCACCAGTGGCACTTGAGATATGCATGAGACGCTCCACTCAACAAGCGAGAATCTTCCGAAATCTAAGTTTTGTGAGTATCACTTTTTCTCCCAGTCCTTTCCAAAACATACGCCTTAGCAAAAGTATGAGTATCACACACTTCGGACCGCAATGTCTGCGAGTAAAAAACAAGTGTATCCCTCATCATTTGAGCCCAGCCCAAATGAAAGTACACACAACCGTTGGGAAGGCGCACACTGATCCATTGGCCGTGGATCCAATATGATCACCTCGACCGAGGTAAATCAGCACCATAATGGACGTGCCAGAACGGAAGGTCTGCTGACCCGGCCCGTGACCCGCGCACGCGCAACGCCAGGGGCCGGAGCCGAGGCTGGGCAGAGCACCGGCCGGCGATCTGTTCCCGCAAGGCTGGCGACGAGGCGGACCGGCTGGGTCCGGACGGTCCGGCGTCGAGAAGGCCAGCCTCACAATGTGATGGAGCCCACCTCCTCAGACAGACCTGCGCCGGCACAGAGCGAGCTCTTCAGCCTGTTCTCGGGAGTTCATCGACACAGTAATCAGACAGCTATTTTAGCAACAAGTTGTCCTCAGCGCGGCGACGGCGTGGTATCAACGGAAGCTGGCCATGTTTTTTCAAACATGGCCAGCTTCCGTTGTGACAATGTGACAATGCCATCATCCAGTGACATCATCACTTGGTTAAGCTGTCTTTAGCCAAAAGTATGGTCGCATCGACAGTTTAGGGTTGGATGTTACGACATGCAGCGCCATCTAGAGCTCTGCCTGACTGCCTAACCAGTGTCAACAGAATCCCACCAAGTGCAGACCTGCGTCCCAGTTTAGATTGCGCCACACAAAGCGCCACTATCACAGAGTACAACGCTGCTGCTTCTACATCCACACGTCAATGCTGCCTCACAGTCGCCACTCTTACCGCACAGGTCGCTGCCTACTGCCACGTGCAGGTAGCCGTCGAGACCGAAGTCGGCGCCCCACGAGTTGCGCACGATGTAGTACGGTACGGGACCGGTCGTGTCGTAACCCACGATTTGCACGGCGTGGTTCAGCTCACCCTCGCAGTTGAATCGGATCACGCCGCCTGGCGGAGCACGGGGAGCTCGTGACGCGACGTCCTAACCCGCCAGCCATAGCGCCCTGACCTCGCCAGTCACGTCATCTCCGAAGGTTCGAGCCTGAACCGGCACTGGCACAGTGTTGTACCCGCGGCGTCGCACGCGCAGACACGGCTGGCCGCGCCAGAGGGGCAGCATACAAACCGATCCATGCGCGTTACGGTCGCCACAGACCAATACAATGGCGCCAAGGCCACCCATGGCGTCGCAGGCAGCAAGCGGGCCCGACCTCAACTCGAGGATGCTCAGAATGACACCGGTGGTTTGACGTGGTCCGCCAGCCGCCAGCCAACTCACCCACGTAGTCCTGCCAGCTGGTGGCGTCGGCCCCCACTGCGATCGGTCCGCGCGTGGCCAGCAGTCGCAGCATCCCCTCCTCGTTCCCCACCATGGAGTCACAATGGTACGTGCGGAGCAGTACGCCGCTAGCGGAGCTGTAAGACGTACGCAGAGTTATGGAGAAAGGCGAAATACGACGCGGTTACGGCACTGAACATGGATGGCTACCAATCTACAACAGCAAGTAAATTACAGCATTAGCCAATAGACAGAAATATAACACGTACCTGTGACTTCATTCTGCGTCATAAAAATTGCTGCTGCACCTGACACATAACCCTTTGCCTCTGCCTCACATCGCGTGTTATTGTGGCTTCATCACGCACTCAGCTGCCGAGGCTATAAGGCGTCGCCTGCCTCTCATCCTGTCAGGAAGGGCGGGCATCGCGGGAATCGAACCCCGCACCTCTAGTTTCCCAGACGCGCAGTGGTTAGCGCAGACGCGTTAACAGCTATATTACCGGCACCCTCTGTCTCATACTGATCGACACGCAGTCCCACATGGCACACCGTGTCACTGACACCGGCAAATGAAGCGCGATGCCTGTGACCCTCTGCCCATGGCGCAGGCTGTGACCGACACACCATCGCCCGCCGTGCCACTGACCGCTGACCTGAGCAGGCTCACCTGACACTGTACATCACCCGTCTGCATCTGACGCAATATGCCATCAACACCTGCATGCGACTCTTATAAGGATCGGTGGCTTAACGTCTGACTGCCAGGGTCATTCCGAGACGGGACATCTGTATCAGGTACCACGCGGAATGTGGCAGCGGAGTGCCCGGGATGCCAGTACAGGACCGGGAAGACCCGAGACAAGCACCGTAACCAATACACCACCATAGCTTCTCCCAACACAGGACCGGAAGACCAGAGACAAGCACCTTAACCAATACACCACCCCAACCAATCGCTCCTCATAACACCCTGCCAGCTACATACCACGTCGGTGACCTGTGCGCCTACCCTGCCATACCAATGACCTGTCCCACCTCGCACGTACGCACGCACGTACGTACGTACGTACGCACGCACGCACGCACGCACGCACGCACGCACGCACGCACGCACGCATGCACAAGTACGCAGCACCACTGACCTCTGCAAACGACACGCGTCGTCACGCAGGGTCAGCGGGTAGCGCAGTTCCGGCACGATCCCGTTCGCGCTCATCCAGTCCAGCGCCCAGCACACGTCGCCGCCCGTGCAGCCCAGGTTGTTGGACGAGCAGTCGATCACCTGCGGACGGAAGACAGAGGGGCGTGGCAAGGGGTGTGGCAGAGGGGCGTGGCAGCGGGGCATGGCAGCGGGACGCGGCAGCGGGGTGGACCGGCCATGGCCAGCTGCACGACTCCGCACCGAACAGGCACTACTGAGGGGCAACAGCGTGTGTCCAATGTCCTGCGGTCCAATCATCACGCGTACTGACCCCTTCCCTCCCCCTGCGGTCCAACCATCACGCGTACTGACCACGTCCTCCCCGCGGCCCGGCCATCGGGCGTACCTGCTGCACGCTGAGCTGGGTCAGGTTACCCGTCTTGAGTGCATGCATCGTCTCGAGCACCTCGACCGTGCTGAAGGCCCAGCAGGCGCCACAGTCGGCCTGGTTCCTGACCGGTGTCACTACACCGCGGTCCCGCCTGCGAGGCACACCGCGCAGGGGTCACACGTGGCGCGCGCTTCAGTGCCACACCGGCAGCCTGGCCACCAACAGCAGCGATTGTGGATGGTAACACAGCAGAGCAGCAAGGCCATGTAGCATTCCTAAGTGATTCGCGTCCACATCTACCATGAACCTCAGCATGAAATCCATTGGTGAACTTCAGCATAAGAGTCAGTGTAAAAAACACTCCCGGGGCAAAACGGGTTGATTGAACACATACAGCTGAGATACATGCATATAACAGATAAAAACTGCACATTGACAAGTGCACCGACAAAAACATGATCTTTGAGGCAGCAGTGGTAAAGCAAATGCAGGGAGAGGAACGGTGTATTTGCAGTTGACCTCCTCCATCGCCAGTTCAACTGAACTGCAAAGAGACGCCTGACGCGGAGGCGCCCAGCAGACGCCCCGGCCCCGGGGACGCGGCGGCCGCCGATTGGGGTGGTGGTTCCCTGGGCTGCCTGGCCGGCTGCGGCTGGCTGGCCCCCTGGATCCACCAGGCCCACTGACCAGTCAACGCGGGCTGGCAGGCCGGCCGGCAGACGTAGCGGGGCTGAGGGCCGGCGGCGCCATGCGGTCATAAGTGTCCGCCGGCCACCGGAGGCTCCGGTAGTTAGCTGCCGCTGCCGGAATTCTGCTGGCGTCAGGTCGGAAAACTTGCTCGGCCCGTAGTGCGCGTCATCGGCGCCAGCTGCGTTCAGCCGCCGCGCCCGCGCCAGGCTCTCCTGCGTAAGAGCAAGGGCGTCGTGGGAAGGCCAGCAGAGAGCCATGGCGATGGCAAGGACGCACTGAGAATGAACAGAACTATGCAACATGCACACCATATTTGTAGGTGTTGAACATTATTCAGAAATCTCTTTGATCCAAATGATGCCTATTTGGGCAGTGAAAAGGTAAATCCAGTCAGTGTCTCTGACATGGATTAAAGATGGGGTCAACTCTTTCATCCCTTACCAATCAGTGAATTTTGTATTTAAAAGGTTTGATGTGAGATGAAACACAATAAGGTTTCTGTCCAGGCCAAGGCTGGCATTGATCTGAAAACATGGTTCCCCATGGTTCAGATTCAAACCTCTGGCATGCATAACTGATCTACACCCTTCATCTACAAAGCCACCATCAACATGCTAGGCCATCATCATGTCATCATTATGCCAGGCCATCATGATACAAGGCCATCACTACACCATCATTACACCAGGCCACTATTACACCATCATTATGTCATTACTATGCCACACCATCATTATGCCAGACCATCATTATGCTGGTAAAGTTGTCCATTATGCTGCTGCCCTGAATTGGAGCAAAGTGGAGTGCTATACTAGCATATTTTGATGCTGATACTATAATCTGCCCTTTTGAGCAAAAAATGGCAGATAGGTTGGCTACATATAAAAGTAATCTCATGTATGGTGCTAAAAGCATAACAATCAGATTGGTGGAACCAAGTATAGTCTTTCAAACTTACTGACTTATCCAAACACAGCACACTAATCATGAGCACCAATTAACCTTTGATGTCAACATCTCCAAAACTGACCAAATTCTTGCATGGCTTCCTGGTTACACCTCCCTAGTTGTTGAAAGAACTGGGTCTTGATGTGGCTGGCATTTACGTGAAGCTTTTGCATGACACTGTTGCATGTTTGCACCAGCTTTTCTCCATGACTGTTAGTGTATGTGCGCTAGGTGTACACAACCATCCACATATTTTTAGATAAATGTTTAAGCCTGGTGCTGGTACACCCTCTACTTTGAGGGGTGTAGTAGCCTGATACTTTGCAACACTCCGTTTTGCAGGGTGTATACAACACATACATTTTCTAACAGGGTTGGCAGGTACTGCATGACAATGGGAGCAGCCCCATGGTGCTTTTCCCACTGACACAAACTTAACAGGAAACTTTTCCTCAAAAGTTGAGCAGTTGTCATTTGAAAAAAAACATTTAATTTGAGTTATATATGTTCAAAAACTACAATATATGCCTGACAGAAACAGTAGAATGTGTAGAGACCCCTTTGGTCACCTAAAAAGTGATTTGAATGAAAACATACAACACTAATTATTATTATTAAAGTATCGCATGATTATATATCTTGCCTAGGGGCACAACTTTCCTATGAAAAGAAATGACTCAAATTTCTTCACTGAATGAGGATTCAAACATTTTGCAAGTGCAATACATTTCTACATGAGACCACTCTCACATTTTTGATAGATCCTGCAGTGTGCAAGCTGCAATTCTTTGTCAAAATTTGTTTACATGCATATTAATAAAAGAGCATTGATTGAGTATATAACATTGGCAGAGGTATATACCTCTAGTTCCCTCTTAATACACTCTGGATTTTGAATTTCCAATCAATTCATCATGACTTGATACCAATCCTAACACTTAGAGGGGAACAAGAGATGGAGGTGATCAACTGGCTGAACAAGTTGTAAAAACATACAGGGATACTCTGAGAAAACTGTCTACATAGGATAACAAAAATTGGTGCAAACTTTTAGACACCAATGCCACAGAAGGCGACTTGATAACCCATACTCACCTTGAATGCTGCCAGCCGCTTTTCATATTCCTGGCTGCCTTTTACATACGACTTGTTATATGTTTCAAGAAAATCATGGAATGCTCGCTCATGAACCTCAGAATTTTCTGTGCCCAGCTGGATTGGCAAATAAAAGAAGAGAAGAAAGCATGCTAATAGTATCAAAAAGTAATCAACGTATCGGTTGTTCATTGCCCTCAGATGCAGAACGCAACCGAGTTTTGATTGGAAACAGTAAAATAACGTGTGGCAGCGTAGTCCACTGATGCACCTACTCCATGTACTCCAGGGGTCAAGTTACAACAATTACACCAAGAAGCGGCACAACACGCCACAAAGTGCACCAGTAGCAACAATCAGATTCTTCACGCTGCTTTCCACTTCGTCCCCGGACAGAGGCCGCCCAATGCCGTTCGGAGGGCGAATGGATGGCCTCTTTTTTCCCTCGACGGTCTTGTCACTTTCGTGAAGGGACAATTACTTCCGGCCCAAGGCCGGACAAGAATTACGTCAAAGCGGCTTATGCTGTCCTGTGCAAAAGCAGGGTAGCCTTCATGCAGAGCTAGTGGGAGAGTACTTTGAATTTGCCTTATCTTGCATGGTGATCGGGAACTGTAAACGGCCACTAGACCTGTAGGTCCCGGTCTCGCCAGGCTTCCGGTCCGGTAACCAGTCTCAAATTATGGGAAGATTTGGTGTGGGACGTCGTACATGATATCAGCCCAGTGCGTATGAAGCCTAGCCTTGGAACTGTTCAACTGAGCTCGACGACACGACCGGGTGTGGAAGAGCGTTCCAGTCGTTGACAACCCGCGTGCTGAATGGGTTACGACGGACGAGAGTTCTAGCTCGAGGTTTTCTGAGCTTCCATTGGTGTCTTCTCGTCCCCTCCGGATTGTGCCTTGTCAGGTACTCCCCTTCCGACAGCGACATATCTCCGTGAAACAGCCGGTACACTGTGTGGGACATGTGTGGGACATAACATCACGTTGCTCTGGCTCATTTTTCTCCCAAAATATAATGGCAAAGCAAGCAGCAGCAATGGATATACTCGTTTCACCACCACAAAACACGCGTTTCATGCGTCATAAAAACGTTTCACGACCGCATTCATGACTTATTGATAAAGCCTGTTTACTGAGTGGTCAATTGGTAGTGCAGAATGTTAACTCAAAGTGATAATTTGAGCTTTAGGACGCGCCGCCTGCCCCGGTCATAACGCGTCCCTTACCGAATGGTGAGATGCTCTGATCTAAAGCAATCTCACGCTTTACAGCAAACCTATAGTTATAATACTGAGCGTATTTCGGCATACCCATTGCTTGCCTCGATGCGTCCAAACCTGCAACATTCCCTTCCAAAATCAAATCAGGTTGTGTAAACGAAATGAACCGGCATCACCAGCCTCTTCTGAAGCCGCTTGGTTTCCATCGTTTCTAAAGCCGACACGAATGCTGCGGAACTGAACGACACATGTATTTATTAGCAACGCATCACCCCATCCAATCGTGACCAGAGCTTCCCGACGGTGTTTTCACCGTCCATGACAAATGAGTCGTCCCTCACATGCCGCACGCTCTTCACAGAGCAATGAAGTGCATTGTTGAAGAAGCAACACCACGACCTTCCCCAATGATACGTGAAGACAAGCTGAACATATCCTCAAAAATACCACGACTTTCTTGGCTGCTCGAGAACACGGGCTGGGGGTGGGATGCTTGTTTTCTTTGGTGGCCATTTTTTCGCATGTGCACGGAATTCGAGCGTTTCTGCTTCCGAACGCCCGGATGAGCCACTGGCAATCGAGTCCGATGAGTCGCTGTCCTCGGAATCGGCTTCGTAGGTTTGTTTCCGCGGCGAGGCGAACCTTCCCGACACCGACGCCCCTCTCCCTCGCTTCCTTTTCGCCGCGTGAGCTGAGCTGCTGCGTGGCGGCGCTCCGAGGGCGGCAGCGCGTTCTGCAGGGCTGGTAGCCAGGTCGCTGGGTCGTCCCACAGTGGCCTCGGCCACGTCATCGATGGTGCTCAGCGCGCGCTGGCACATCCCACAGTGCGGCTCGGCGTTCCTTTTGGTCGTGATTGCCCTGTACATTTCGTTCAGTTTTGGGGACTTCTGACATCGCTGCTTCACAGTCAGCATACTCGGCAGAGGTATCTTCATGTTTCGCTTCACGTGATTCAGCACTTCGTCCGAGCTGATGGCACGCAGCTCTAGCGTCCGGATCACGTCCTCTTCTCCCCACTGAACGACCTTCTTCTTCTCATGGAGGCTGACAGAGAAGTCCCTGGTGATGGCCCTTACCTGCGCTTCAGTAAACATCGACTTGACGGACTTTTCAAGCCGCAGCAGCTCCTTCAATCGTTTCCGTGTCACCACCTTTGCGCTTTTCCGCCGATATCGCTCCTGTGCCAGCCTTACCTTCATGTCCCCCAGCCGTTTGTTCTTGATTACCCAACTGAGGAATGCCGCCTGCATGGAGAGGTTCTGAATTTTTAGACGCTGGTTCACGGAAAGCGCCTCTTGCAAGTCCGACGGTGAAAACGTGGTCATCTCGTCGGACAGCTCATGCTCTCTCAGTTTAGCAACGAAGCTAAGAGGCGGCGCCTGCTCCCTTAGCACCACCAGAGGCTCATCCCCCGCCTCTGTGGAAGCCTGTACGCTCACAGGCTCGCCGCTGACAGCCGTGCCATCCCTCTCGCAAACCACATAGGTGTCGGCATCGACGCTCACAGCCCGGGGGTCCACACGCCTGGCGGAAACGTCGCCTAGCAGGCGCTTGCATTTCTCTTCAAGCCGCCGGATTTTAGTTTTCTTTTGAAATATCTCCTTCATCCGGTTGACAAAGGAGTCTTCAGCTGTGAAAAGAAAGGAAAATGGGCTTGTGTTACGGGGTATGTGTTTGGGGATAACTTCTCGACGGGTCTATCTTAATGAGAATGTTTAACATTCTGAGATATTGAAGCACGCATCAGATATGATAAAACAAGTCCGCTTAGCAGTACTGGTGTACTTTTCAGTGGAAAAGACTGCCCTAGACAGCACAATTTCTCTGTTTAGTAAATATGCTCCCTGATACGTCACTGTTTGATTACGTCATCGTACTTTGCACAACATTGATTGAGAGCCAGTTGACTGCCGGTACGTCTAGAAAACGTGCTCACGAACGCCAGACATGAGCGACTCGACCATTATATTTTTTCTCGGTCTTCGTTGCCGCATAGTTTAGGATTTGAATGATGCTATTATGACGTCGGGGAAGCCAATGTAATCTTAACATACTCTCCCCGAAATACCCCCCCCCCCCCCAGCTTGCGGGCCTGTAGCTCAGAAACTATAGGGGTTTAGGCCTTGGGAAGGGCGTGGATGCGAGCTATACCGAATGATCTCCAGGACGGCTATTTCAGTTCAAAATCCCACAGAAATGTGAAACAATCCTTCTTCGCGGGTGTGTAGCTTAGAAACTAGACCAGTTTAGGTCGCAACAAGAGCAGGGATGCGAATCGCACTGAATGATTCTACAAATGGCTATTTCAGCTTCAAACACTATGGCAATGTGGAACAACTCCTTTAAGTAACGTGTGGAGTGTTTGGGGAGTTTTGTGTAATATTGCCTTTCGGGAGCGCTTGCAACCATAACTTCACTTAAGACCAACCATGACAAAATAGAAACGCCACTCAACCATGCCACAATACCAACTCAACCAACCATGACCATGCCACAATAATAATGTCACTGAAATCCTGTCGTTGCATCGGCTATGCGGCGACCAAGACTAAGACAAATATTATTGTCTGATCGTTCATATCTGGCGTTCGTGAGGACGACCTCCAGATATAACGGCCGACAATTTGCTCTCAATCAATGTTGTGCAAGAAACAGTGACGTAATGGCACAATGACACATTGAGGAACATATTTACTAAACAGCGAAATTTGGTTGTCTAGAGCAGCTTTTTCCCCTCAGAAGTATACCAACAGCTATCAGTGGCATACTTAATCACTTCTGATGCTTGCTTCAGTATCTTGAAGTGCCGCATATTCCCTTCAACTTTGTCGGTCACCGAAAACATGGTCAGAATGCGGAACACACTTCAACTAGTTGCCATGCAACAATTATACTACATTATACGCAGCGTGATAAGAATACCGTGAATCACAAATAGTCACGTTCTCATATGTCAAAAACGCTCAAATTCCTACGACTGGAAAGTTTGGCTTGCATGACTAATATCTAGAAGCCCTTACATAACACATGACCACAACTACGAAAACGTAAGACAACTTACTAAACGAGCAAGCAATCACCATTCAGAACTAAGAGCCAAGCTTAACGGAGTTGGATGCGGTGACTCGAATGGATTACCGGATACAATTTGGTCCCCTATGGCGCCGTAAGGTGTTGTTCCACAGCCGAGAGAGCGCTCTAACAGCAGCAAAACAAAACGCAGCAGCTCTACTAAGTCCACGGACAACTGGACTGTAAGAAAAAAGCCAAAAGACAACGCACCTTTCATTGCATTTGTAGCTGAACGCATTCCGCCGCTCGCAGCGTCGAGATGATCCAGGGTTTTCATGGGCCCGCCAGGCGCATACGGGACTGTGCCCTGCGCCGACGGGTCAACGTGTTTCACTTTACTGCCAAAAGGGCGCACCACGTCATTCAAAACGTTTATGTGGTCATCCAGAGTCTCCATCGGCACGTCTACCGGATACGGAATCCTGTCTTCAGTCGCGTCTTGGTCAGCTTCGCCGTGCTCGGGATGGTCATGCGCGCCATCAGAATGCAGGCTTCCCGCGTCCGAATGGTCCTGCGCCACGGGGACCGTCTCCAAATTATTCGCAGGTTTCTGAGGCACGTGATTGGCTTCAGCAGGCGACCCCTTCGCAGTCACAGTGCCTGCTTCAACGCTCTGTTTGGGTGGATGCTCCTTGTCTGATTTTGAGACGATATTGTCAGAGCTCTTCTTGCCTCTTGAGGTACGGGGCTTATAACTCGTGGTGGATTTCGCCTTCTTCCGACCAGGCTGAGCGGCCTTGATGGGTGATACGTTTACGTTTCGTTTACTTCTCCTCTTCTGTTCTTCTCTGGGAACAGGACGTTTATTTCTGAAAAAGAATGTTGACCATTGGTATTTCAGACCTTACAACGCCAAAACATACACATTTACAGCGCCACAATCTTTTATGAAACGAGAAGCTCAAGAAAGAGCGCTGGTAGACGACGACAAACAAGCCCGCAATTGCACGCGCTGGCACATACGCACACCGACTTACGGAGCAGCATGGAGTAAGTTTTTGTTCTTACTGGTGTAAGGAGATACGACTGGCCCTGGTGGTAGACGCCGCGGATCGACGGCTGTCACGAGATGGCTTACTGGTTTCATTGTCCATCCTACTCCTTCCCTTCGGGCTTCCTGCTCTTCGCGGGCGAGCTGGGCTGTAATTTACAGAACCGTGTTCTATGAGAAAAAATAGCGGTGTGCATTTGACCCTTCGTAACTTCTATGGGGCATTTGGTCCATTGGAATATTTGGCAAGTTCTCTGCAATTTGAAAAATCCTGACCCAAGAGAGCACGAGAGCAAAAACCGCGGTATGAACTCATTTTTAACTTCACTGATGCGTATACGTATAAACCTACAGCAAAGAATACTGCATTACGTTCAACAACATACAAATTAAGGTGTCAAAATGCTACATGTTTCTTGATTGTTTGCAGAAGTGGGAACAGACTCTGAAACGAGGAAATCCCGCAGCGATAGTGAGCTTGATGGGATGTGGAATCTACGCGTTGGTAGGAGTCCGAACGCCCTAGGCAGTCGGGATTCCCGGCTTGGAATTTCGACTCACGGGACTTAAGTAAATCGCTTTGTTTTACCGATGAATTGCCATCACACTCAGAGTAACCAAATTGAGATACAATGTCTCTGACACCACTCCCTACATGATTCGGACTCAGATGCGGACCCCGAGACGCCGACATTAGCCCTAAATCGCATTCATGTTTCATCCATTGTTAACATGTCGGTATCAGACAAACGGTCGCAGACAAACGTTAACGGCAAGACGCGTTCAAGCACTTTGATTAGGTCAGTTTTGGCGGGGCCGCTTCCTGTCCTCTGGTTTCGGCTGAGTTGGGTCGGGTTCAGTTCGGTCACATTAGTTTGGGTTATCCTAAGATTTTAATGAATTCCTTTTGGTCTAACTTACGGTTTATATGATTATATACACTCGTTATAGGCAACCCCCGTTTTTGCATTTCAACGGGATTGTCACTGGCAGTTGTGGAAATGAAGATACCATCCATAATCTTTCATTTTCTCCAGTTTGCCTCGTAATCTAAGATTTCCCACTCAACTAATGCAAAACAAAAACCTGTGTCCGGCACGTACATCGATAACCTCAAGTGGCTGATATCCACGTTCCTTGCCGCTGTGCTTACCCGTTCTGGTTTTTAAGCTCTCGCACGTCTCCCTCACGTAAAACCTTTCCATACTGGTAGGTGCATCGATAAATCATTGCAGTTTTCCTAATTTCAACGTCTTTGAACCGTATAAGATAACTCTGAAAATTTACACAAGGCCTGGTGGCCACAATAGCGCATGGTTTTAAGGGCTGGGTTATTCTCGCATATTGTCTGATCCGGGCTGAGGAAGGGAAAAATATCCTGAAAGTTATTGTTCCGCAAGAAATCTGGTTGGTATATGATCTTTTTTGCGTTTTACAGGAATGTAGATGACCTTTTCTTACCTTTGGGGGGAAGATGGAAGATATAATGAAGGTATAGCGCCCTCTTTGAGACGCGGTTTGACGTCAGGCATGAGTGTTCTTTTGACGAGGTAAGATGGATCATAGTCTGCCTGAGAAAAATGACTCGAACATATCCCGTATAGGTCGGCTTCAAATGGGGCTGTTGGTCGACAATTTTCAATCCACTTGCTACGAACAGCTGGATCCTTTGGGAATCTAAAACAGTGTGTATTCCGTGGTCTTTTCGTCTTGTGTCTGCCACCAATGGCATACCAGGACTGACAAGTTGGCACCACACATCTTGAAGGCATTGTCAGGCGATTCTATGTCTGAAAAAGAAAACCACATCAATATATACTACAAGACTATCAGCAAGCAAAAATGATACAAAACAAAACTTTGAGCAATATGTAGCAAAGTGCTTTCAGAGGTGGGCACATACAAGCTTGGGGAGGCATGTGCCCACTCATGCCAAATTGTATTGTATGAATTACTTTGCAAGTGACTGAAAGGTTGACAGATAAAAAACTGGCAGACATATAGAAACAATGTCACGAACATGCCATGCTATCTAACTACACACAAAAATAGTACAATGCCTGTGGTGTGCTAATTTAAGTTGTGTTCAGTCCAAGGTGAAACTATATGTATGACTTCCAGGGCAGCTAACCTGACATAACCAAGAAAGACACCAAACCCCTGAGCTTTTAGCACTATGAGTTCAGAATTCTTATGGTGAAAATTCTGGATTACAATGCACCAGGGGATATTGGTTAAAAGATGCTGTCCAGAAAATGGTTTTGTTGTGAATGCTCAGTATTTCAAGCTGTGCCCATGGCCATATGCTTGAAGTGTCTCATGCCTGTTGGCATAGTCTGACCTTTGCCTGTCACATGTGTCCACAGCACAGCTAAAAACCTTACGTTTCAACAGAAAATCAATGTTTTCTGGAAAATGTCATTTAGCTTACAGATCCTGGTGAAATGAAGGCTGACAACTATCAGCATAAGAAATCTTTTCTCATAATTGCAGCAGCATTCCTTCCTTTACTACCCTGCAGAGGCAGCAGCCTCCATATTTGCCCCTATACAAATCAATGTTGCAATTTCAGCCTGCCAAAATTGAGTGAAATTGCTTCCACATTCTTGTTATTTACTTTCTAGCAATGGTAATTGCAACAAAAACCTAGAGAAATGTTCAAAACAAGCTTAACATATTCAGTCAATGTTTGCTAGTCAGATTTTACTGGTTTAAGCTGACTGGCAGGACCTAATAGTAAAAAAAATGCAGAAACTGAACAGAAATACAAATATAGCAGAACATGGTTTGTATAAGCCATTGAAGTCAGACCATGCAGGATCATCAAGATATAAATCATATTCTCAGCATGGCTAATATTTGCTTTATACCTAAATTGTATTACACACAACATATCTAAAGTGTTCCACGGTACCCAGGTCATACTACTGGTCCTATTAAGCCTTCCACATGTTAGCAGTATAAGCAACAACCTATCTGTAACAGAGCCAGTGACATAAAAAACATACTAGCTGATATCGGTGCAATGCCAGTCAAACCACAAGGGCATTGCTATATCTCTGGATGCCCCAATGCCATCTTGTGATTGACATAAATATGGAAGAGGTGATTGAAATATGCCTTTGGTAGGTAGGTAGGTAGGTATATGCATGATTTTTATAGGCCAAACTGCTAAAACATAAATCATGCCAAACATGTGCCATATAGCAACAACATTCAGGCAAAACCTACAGCCTACATACACCACCAATCTAAGCATCCAGAGTCTTGCACAGTTTACATTCATGCCACCCCAGTCAAAACTTTTGAGGATTATGATGATGCAAAGGTAGTGGCTAGCAAGAATGCTCATGTCAGGCAAAGCAATCTAATAAATCAGAGCAATGTGGTCTGGCCTGATTTGAAGCATAAAAGAGCAAGGTTCAATGCCCACATGTCATGCAGGCATTGTACCATTGTGGACAGACTTTTTGCAGACCAACTTGCAGGGTTACAAGTTCAGAATTATTGATCCTTGATGTGCTTGAATTTTTCTGACATAAATTTTTCAAGGTTGCAAAGAATAGCAGTCCAAAAAGAGGGATGAACCAGTGCTGACAATGGTTTGTGTACTGATAAACAACTGAAATCCATGCAACTTGTAGCACAGATCCAAGCATCCAGGGCTCAATGAATGCTGAAAATGTCACCACTTTGTTTGCTACAGTTATGGCTTAATACTATGCATGTGACTTGACTTAATATTTCCACAATTAAAAAACAACGTATATACCCTAATGAGTGAAAATAACGAATCGTTATTAATCGTAGATTAGACAGTCACTTGTTGGGATTCGCACGGATAAGGAAGAAATTAAAATAATGAGGCATCAGACATTAGGATCACCTGCTTATCATCAACCGCTTCAAAAGCGTTGGGATTACCTGTCGCATTACCTGCTGTACTTGGGTGGGTACCCCAACAACCACCAAACCGTTGCTCACCATCACAACTGGCAAACCCAATAAACGAACATTTTGTTTGGAGTCATCGCTCGTCTCAACAGCGCCATGCGCACGGCTTAATAGAGATGTTTCGCCACCATCCTGCACGTTCAATTTGCCAACCTTAAGGTCCTGACGGAGGATTATTGCTGTCAACGCTAAGCTCACAACTTTAGATAAATACTATATTCTGCTTTTTAGGATTTCAAGGTCTTTAGCAATCATTAGAATTCAATGTACTCAATTTCAACTGCTTGTTTTGTCGGGAATGCATGCCCATATGTCGAGCACATGATGCACGCGTGCATAGAATGAAAAGATGGAATCGATGTCCACATCTATACGTCTTTCAATTTCGGCGCCGCTGCTACCAAATGTAAGTAAGTGTACACAAAAAGCCGGCAAGTAAGTCGTGTCACACTCAAGGTAAACGGTGCGGAGGGGCACACAGGTTACTTGGTGCGCTGTAGCAAAAAACATTGTCATCCTATGCTGTAAAGGCAACTACGGCAGCTGCGTAGCTAGCTAAAGCCAGATCATGGGTTTGTGGGCGTTGACCGAAGGCTGCACATGTTAAGTGTGGCATGATGTTTCCCCCATTCTGTCACACGTGTTGAAACAACTGACCCCGTGTCGTTCAAGTGTTGCATGCATAGCAATATCAGTATGTCAGAAGTAGCTGTCCTAGTTTGAGTGCTAAAAGATTGATGCAAAACTGAAAGATATTTACCCCAAATGGATTACCATAATAAAGGTTGCACAAGAATGTTTAGGGGTGTAAGTATGCCAGGCCAAGGGTACATGGTCATAGTTAAAGCAGAAAAGGAAGTTTACATGTGAGAGATAACCTTTCCCATGCAGGTAACCTTTTCATATAACTTTATTATCTCCATTAGAAGTAACCCTTTCTCATGCAGAAGCAGAGGCCTGCAGAAGTAAGTAAAAAGGTTGTGCTTTTGTGGTGGAAAGATTGCCATCTTGTTTTGGGAACATCTTGGCCTACTTTACTTTATGGTGGTTGGAAACTGTGAAAGGTCACTAGGCCTGTCAGTCCCAGCCTTGTCAAGATCTTGATCTGGTAAGCATACAGTGTCAAATCATGGAAAGGTTCAGTGCAGAATGTCATAAAGGATGCCAACCTAGTGTATACCAAGGCTATACTTCAACTGTTCACCTCTGGTTGACAATGCTACCAGATGTGGAAGAGTGCCCCAACTGTTGACAACCTGTGTGCATAATGAGTTGTAAATGCAAGTGAGCTCAAGGTTTTCTCAGCTCTTTTTTGTGTCCTATTGTCACCTCTGAGTTGTGTCTTGTCAGGAACCCCTCTCACACTGACATACCACTGTGAAACAGGTGACAAAGTATCCTGTGCCCACCTGTATGTATGCCATAGTCCTTCCTTATTTTTCTTCAGCTGCATGACCTTTGAGCTCATGTACAGGCTCTTCTTTGGTCTTGTCCTTTTCTTGACAGAGCCATCCTTGGTAGCCCCAGCAATTCTCTTACTGAATAACTTGTAGGCTTCTTGTAGGTGGAGGTTCTGCATCTTCGACCAGTCCATCAACCTAAGGATGTCTGTCAGACATTTATTTAGCCCAGGCATTTATCAGGTCCATCATTTATTTAGCCTAGGCATTTATCAGGCCCAGGCAATTATTTAGCAATTATTGCACAGTTTTGCTCTCAAGGTTTATGGTTGCAAAAGATGTTGTGCTTTTTTGTGCATTTGATCCAAACATTTTGACTGGATGGATTTCTGGGGATCAAAGCATATAGTAAGTAGCACATAGTAATGTGGAAGGCCTCATTTAGACTGTGTGGTTGTGAAAGTGTATTCAAGCCTGAACAGTGTTTAGAAAATTTATTTTAGTGTGACATGTTAATCATGTGTGATTGTCTCAGCCCAACAAGGTTGCAGGCAGGTTGCAGGCTGTTGGAAAGGAGGGCAGGACGGAGGACGTGTTGGGTATTGCGACAGTTGAACTTTGAAAGCCACCAAATTCTGGTGTGAGCCTGGATAATTTTATGTCTGTGGCTGAAAATTTTGCTGGTCGCCTGGATAATTTTACAAGCGTATGGCACTGTTTGGGCTTACACAAGCACTGCTTAGCATGTGATCCCAAAAATTCATCCAACTGAAATAGGGTGGCAATGGATTATTTATTTTTTTAAATCAGCTGACAACTAAACGTCATTTGCATGCATGGCGACTTCTCAGAAAGGCGAGGAGCCATAAACCTTGAGACTTGTTTGATCTTTCAAAAAGTGTCACCGTTCCATTTAAGGCAGAAATTACTTGAATGGAAACATTATGTTCAAAGTTCATGAAGTTCAAAACCTTGGCTCTATTGTGTTATTTTGATTTATTCGTTGTCAATCTGTGGTGAATTGGGCTTGCTTTTTGTATTTGTACTCATTGTGCATAATTTCATTGAGGGAGTAGATGTATCATAATATCATAATAACTGTACTTTTCTGTTCATCTTGTCTAAGGCATGCCTGCTTCCAGGTGCAGCATTGGTGCCAGAAGCACCATGTCACAAGTGCTGGGTCAGCTTTGTGCTCAGGTGGCTGGGGACACCTTTGGACCAGTTGTGAAGTCTGTGGTGAAGTACCTCTTTGTGGCTGGCACACGCCCCCTTATGGCCATCGTAGTCAACTCACCATACCAGCGCAATGAGGTGAGTTAGGGTAGTTCAGACCATAGGAAAACAGTGACGTTGATGGTTCAGGTGTATGAAAAATCATTTGCGATGCAAAGTTTTGTAGAATGTTGAGATGTTGAAAAGAAAATGCACATTTTGAGACACAACAGATCCAGAGCACATTGCATTTTGCCAATTTTGCACTTTGCAGAAGTCAATAGACTATTCAATAGATTATGCTCTTTGTCTGTAGCCACATTGCTATGGGCTAGAACAGTCCTATTGGGGTACCAGAATGTGGTACTCGTGCAGTATTGGGCTCTTAAAATGCCAATACTGTAATTGTGACAGCACAAGGGAGGAATTGTAAGAAATCACAGGGCATGGAATAAGTAAAGAGGGATTTCTGTAACATTCTGAACATTAACCCTTGCCCTGATAGGGGGGATAGGCAAAGTTGACCTTTGATCTGGCATAATGGGGTAAGTTATTGGCACAACAACACAAAAACTAGTATCAATCGCGAGATTTGCTGGGGCAATATGCTGGTGTTTTCCAGTAAGCTGTGTCTTCATAACTTTGGCAGTGCCAGGTGAAGTTATTACGATCTTCACACCCTTTCAGTCCACGTTCTGAAGAGCGAAGAAACAGACCCAGGGTTAAAGCGAGTACCCCACGTTTGTTGTATTAAAAAAACAATTTGGTGAAAAGTCAGAGCCATTTAGTCTTATAATGTCATTTGGTAGTACCAACGCACCACCATTAAGGTGTAATAATGATAAGGTATAATAATTTTGATGATTTTTGAGTTCAATTTACGCTGTCAACATTTTGTAACGGCACTGCACCTATTGCTTTCTTGGAAACTCCAGAGTGTATCCCGAATCCGGGGCATGTGCATTTGTCGCGACCGCCGTCATCACAGCAACGGCAAAATACGTTGTGGGCTGTTTTCAGCTGTCACGGCTTACAGGACTACTTTTGAGCTGTTTTATCCCGCACATTGTGAGCCTGCCGCCTTAAAAGTGGCACATCTACTGGTATGAATGGCGTCAGTACCAACAACCGTTTGTGATTGCACAGCGGGCGGCAAGGTTCTATTACCAAGAAGCACATTGGTTGAAGTTTGAACTTTAGACCATGTGATCCTCATTTTCCCAAAGCCAAAGTGCGCTTCGAAAATTGTCAGTGTGTTAAACGCCATAGGGGAGAAATTAAAGCTACAATATGGCGTTATGTTCAATTCAATCAACCCAGTTGAAACCTCCGGTTTGTGTCATGGCTTGTTTCCGTGTTTTGGCTCTGTGTCTCTTGTGCCGCTGCGGCGACTTGGCTGCGTCTGCTGTGGCAGACCACTCATACCCTGGTGCTGCTGGCAGGCGCCTTCCATCGTTAGCTGACGCGAGACCGGTGTGTGCGGTGGGCATGTGTGACCGTGACCCTGTGACCGCATGTTCTTGGGCCGCCGCCGGCTGCTGCTGGCAGGCGCCTCCCATCGTTAGCTGACGCGGGACCGGTGTGTGCGGTGGGCGTCCCGTGACCGCACGTTCTTGGGCCGCCGCCGGCCGGTGCCGCTGACGGCTGCCGTCGACGCCTGCTGCAGGTCAAGCTGGCGGTGCAGGTGCTGCTGCAGCACCACCTGGTGACGTTCGGTGTGGCTCGCACGGGGGCAGCCGACTACACCCTGCACCCGCAGCGGGTGCTGCTGCTGCTGAGATACTCCAGGTACGGCTGCTGAGCGGGCCGATCTCACACACCGGTCAAGGCCATCAGGCCTGCGATGACATGGCGTTTGTGGCATCTTTGTTTGTGTACGCGGGCATGATCTCGTGGAAAACTGCTTACGTTGTTTTCAAGGTCAGCTTGAGAAGACAGTGTCGTCTTTTGTGCATTGATGATTGACCCTTGGTAATCAGGACTGGATTTATGGTAATGGAGAAAAGGTGAAGAGTTTATTCACACAGATGATTGTAAATTTGCCATTATTTGGTATTTAAAACGTCATATTTGGTTTTGATTGAATAAGTCGTATTAAAGGTACATTTACTATTACTTATTATTAATTGAACTAAACTCGATAGACGCCCTGTCTACCAAAGAAACACGCCATCTGATCTGAGCGTCATTAGCTCAGTGCGCATGCTGATTGGGTGCCGTTATTTTCAAACATTGTCCTCTTGTCAGGTTCCTGCTGCTGATCAGGACGCGCTTCGGTAGTCAACAAGAGGTGCTGCTAGATGAGCTGTTGCGGCAAGGGCAGGACACCGCCTTCAACATCGTTGTTCGTGCTACCAAACGGATCAACGAATCTATGGAAGGTGATTGGCAGCTACGCACCCCCGGTCTGCGCTTGCCGTAACGCATGGACCCAACGTGGATGGTAGCGGTTTCGTCGGTATCCTGGTAACTAGCATTGCTTGGCCTCAGGTGGGGTCCACAATCCCCCCCCCCCCCCCCTGAAGGCTGTCCGTATAGACCCTTCGGTACATCGACCGGCCCTTTGTGCCGGTCCATGACGGACGCCGCGGTACTCTCCATCTGCAGTCTGCAGCTTTGCTGTTTGCAATGCTGCAGTGTGCATTTGGCCAATGCAAAGCACATGCAGCATGGTTTGATCAGGGGCTAGTCATCTCGGGCAAGTCTGGTCGGATCCATTGCAGCGCCGATGAGCACAGTGTCGTGGCACGCGATGGCCTACTGCTTATGGTTGCTGGCGGGGATGGCCTCCCTGTCTTTTCTTGTCTCTGGCTGCTTTGCTATGAAAGTTGTGCTTCAATTTTTATGTTGAGATGTTATTCGTGGTCGTGGGCCATCTTATGTAGATCGTTGTTTTGCATCCCCATGTGTGATCTTCAGTCCCATCTCCCCCCCCCCCCCCTCCCTGTCACCTCTCCCGGGAGCGTCCTGACACGGTCGCCTGTGTCCGTGCTGTGTCGGATCGCTCCACCACCGCCGCTGACGTCCACGCTCGCCGCTGGCGGCTGGAGGTGTTGCGCTCTCTCCACTGAAGGTGTCGGCCTGCGCTCCCGCAGAGGGCGGCAAGGCCGTGCCGGCAGCAACCATCCGAGACAAATTCCTCGAGATGGTTCGCGGCCAGTACTTCCAGCGCTGCGCCACGGTGGCACCGCCTGCCGACGCGACTGCAGCGCCACCTGCAGACGCGACGGTGGCGCCGCCCGCGGAGGGCGTGCCGCAGTTGCTGGAGGTGGAAGGCGAGCGGGCTTTCGCGCCGCCGCAGCTGGACATGGGGGTCGTGCAGCGGGCCGTGGACGGAAAGCCTGGCAGGCCGCCGCCACCCGACCCGGTCAGGTGGCGGGTCAACTTCTCCCGGCTGGACGAGGAGTTCAGGTCAGTATCAAACCTGTGGCACATGGCCTTTGAACTGTCCACAGCAATATAGCGTCACTCGGTCTTACTCTGGAGTTTGTTTGGATGTGTTCAAGCCTTCATTTGGGTGTGAGATGCTCCTAGTTCATATATGAATGTCATGCAGTACCCATTACGCTGCGGAACGTAGTGCGGTGCGTGATGCTAGATGGCTTTTCATTCATTATGGTCTGATGAAGCGGCTGCCTCTCTAGGTGCCTGGTCGACATCGCTGTTGCTCATGTCTCGTCACTTGGCCGGGGTTGGGTGGCGACCCTCACTGGGCCCCGCCTGCCAGGGACCAGCTGGTGCTGCACTCGGTGTCGCGCACGTGCGGCGAGCCGGCGGCGGACGTGATGCGTCACCTGATGGCGCTGGCGGCGCAGGCGAGTCCCGCCTGGGCACCCACCTCCAACCCGGTGTCGCTGACCGAGCTGAAGGACCGGCTGGCGCGGCTGGCCGGCACCGTGCACGCTGACGCCGTCAGCTACAGCGAGCAGTACGTCCGCATCATGAGTGAGTGAGGCGTGGGGCTGCCGCGTGAGCGCCGGCCGCCACAGGGCGGTGACGGCCGGGCGGCGTGAGGAACGCTTTTGCATTCCAGTGCGGGGAGGATAGTATTGCTACATCAGGGAGAGAACGCCCTGTCGGAACTGCGCGTGAGCCAATGAACGCCCCACTCCCCCCTCCGCTGCTGATGCCAGGCAGTGGGATACCTCGCCGCTGACCAGGAGACATGGACCGGACTTAGGGCCTTTCCTTGCCGCTTTTTTTGCTACGAAATGACACGTCTGCTTCATGATGGATCATGGGAGACGCGTATCGCGCGGGTCGCCCCGGACCTGCACGTATTCGCCCTGCGCACCTCTGACGTCCCGCCCGTGTCGCAGGCGAGGGCGAGACGCCCTATCTGTCCCGCTACGGCGACGCCGGCGGCGGCCAGTACGTGCTCAACATGAAGCGCATCCTCCAGAACTTTGGCTGGGCCGTGGCCGAGAACGTGGTGCAGGAGCGGTTTGGCTCGCGCGCCGGCCGCATCTTCCGGTGAGCTCCCACGAGACTGGTGCCGTGGCCGTGGGGTGCAGTTCCGGCGTGACTCGACCGGAGGCGCCGCGCGCGTGTGCTGCCGGCACCTGGGGCCCGACATGTGTGTGTGTGTGTGTCACTGTGTAGCAGCAGGGCTGCTGCGAATGTGCCTTTTCTCATAACACATGAACGCCAAATGTCCACCGCGGTCGTTGCGCCCGTAAACTCCAACACACAACAACAAATTTCTCATAACACAACATAGCCAGCCCGCTGGTGTCAAGGTGTCATAGGCTGTACCCAAGGAATTTCTGCATGGCTGCCTTGGCCAGGAGAGCGCGGCTGGTTCGGAGTCGTGGCTGGCTCGACCGATGTGAGCTGCGGCTGGAGAGTGTGCACGCACGCCTCTGACGCTCGGCCTGCCGGCCGTGGACACTGCCGCCGCGCGGCATGAGCCGGACACATGCCGACTCTGTGCCTGACTCGCCCTCCTTGTCCCCCACACCCACCCCCGCCGCCGCAGCCTCATCCGGGCCAAGCGGTACGTGGAGCAGGACAAGATCCACGAGTGGGCCATGATCCCGCCCAAGGAGGCCAAGCTGCTGACCTACCAGCTGCACCGGGCCACGTTCGTCAACGTGTGTGACCTGCGGAAGCCGGGCCAGCAGGTGACGCCCGGCCGCGTCGTCATCCTCTTTCACCTGGACGCCAACCACGTGAGTGAGCCGAAACCTGCCCGCCCGCCGGTCCGTCCAACCATCCACCCGCTCGTTCTCTTGTGCACCGGCGTGGTTCTCGCGGTCCGTCCTCCCTGTTCCGTCCAGTCGATATTTGTCTCCCTTTTGCCACCTCTGCTCCCCCCCCCCCTTTCCCTGCATAAAGCGGCATGACTCCCTGGGGTGCGGGCGATCGAGACGGCTTTGTCACGTGGTTAGTGGTGTCCGGGGACCGGCAGGCTGCATTGTGGCGGTTGCGCGGGGCGTCCGCCAGGTCGGACAGCACGGGGCCGTTTGGCACACCGAGACCACCCCGCTCTTACACGCTTTGTTTCTCAATTACCAAGAGGTAAGTAATAACAATGTTGCTACAGCATGATTCCCTGATTCCATAGCGACAGCCTCATCCTCATGAACGGAGGCAGAGACACGCGCCACGTTTCATAGAAACTAACCATCTTCGTTCGCGATATCTTTCCAAGCAAAACGTAGCATACCCGGCGACATATCATCAGTGAATAATCGTCGCGCCCGGATCCATTCCAGCCCACCCATCCGTCCAGTACATTTGATGATTGCACATGCCTGCACTGCTAGCCCCATTAGTCACCCAGTGGGATGTTTTGGCCGCGCCACAGTCGCTGCCGACGCCGGCAGCGGCTTATGATGCCTGGTGGCGAACGTACCTCACCAGGCGGCCCGGCCCGCTGGCCCGGCCCGCTGGCCCGGCCCGGCCCGGCCCGGCCCGCGTGGGCTCATTACGGCAGTGCGGGGTCGGAACGCCCCGCAGGTACTGGCCTCGCGCAAGGTCGGCAGAGGCGCAGCCAGAATTTGCTACACGGGGTCTGCCGTGATTTGCGAAAGGGGGCTGAGGCTAATTTTTTGTGACCGATTTCCAGCCCCATTGACGGTACGTAAGCATTGGGAACGGACTAACAGACCCTACTAACGTCAATAGATGCGGTACCCAGCGTGCTCATGATGTATCAGTGTTGGTTTGTCCTGGGGCCTTGAGCAGTTAGTTCAGCTGCATAACGTGCATGTTAGCTCGGCTATCCGCTAGTCTAGTATAAGTTACGGCTGCTGGGCTCTACATGCCGTTCTCCATGATAGTACCTGAAATTTAAAACTAAAATCAATTTTCTGATCGCCGAATTCCGGAACTATATTCAGAAGTGTCGTCCTGAAAAATTGCGCTCGAGCCTGACCAGTGGGGAGGGTGTAAAGCCCCGCGAGCCCCTACCCCAACCGCGCCAGCGGAAGCCGGGGCAGCAGGCGGGGTCGCCCACGCCGAGTGGCCCTAGGACGGCGGGGATACCGAGCCATGGGCAGGAATGACGGCTGCGAGGGGTCGAGTGTCTCATATAGGCTTTGTTGTGGGAGGGGGAAGGACGGACATGTTTTTCTGCTTTCTTCTTTTGCCACCCTTCCGCTTGAAAACCAGTGAGTGTTCTGTGTTTGTCTCGTTTTGTTCTGTCGCTGTGGGTTGTAGGTATGTCCGTAGGTATGTGTGTGTGCATATATTATAGCACATACAGGCACATTCTGGCTCTGTATGCACTCGTGTCCACCTAATAAAGGTAACGAGGTCGGTGCATGCAGCCTAGAACTATCGCGACCGATGCGCAGTTGTTTTTATATTTGGTGGTGCGGCACGGGCCACCCGCAATTGACAACGCTGAAAAGGAGTATGCCACCTTTTTGTACTTCTCACTTATTTTAAAATCAGACGCGTATGATTTGATCAGCAATACCAATTTTCTCGAAATCCTTGTGAATAGCTTATAATTTGTATTTGAAGTAGTCGGCCCTGCGGGAGAAGTCTTATTTGCCTTCATGCTCACCGCTATGAAAGTATTGCATTTAATCTGCCTTGCTTTTTCCACTTATGTGTCCGTAATATTTGCAACACTTATTTATCAAAATGTTTGGGTACTAAATGCTACGAAAGTTTGAAATACTCTTTCGACGAAAAATATGCGTCATGGCGCTATTATTTCGTGAATTCAACAAAACGTTTTACTATGGCTTTGATTTCTTCCCTATGGCGGTTCCCATAGTGGCTCTTTTCGAGGAGCACTTTGGCTTTGGGAATGGAAGTATCACATGGTCCATGGTGATGCACCAATTCGAACTTCAACCACTGCGCTTCTTGGTAACAGGCCCTTGCCGCCGCTGGGTCAATCATGAGCGCTCTTACATTCGCACCAGCAGAGGTGCAACGGCGGTTGCCATGACATCGGCGGTGGCGACTGCAAGGAAGAAGTGTAGTGCTGTACAAAGCGTGGACAGTGTAATTTAGACTCGAAGATAATTTAGATTGATATCCTTGTACCTTGACGGTGCTGTTATGTTGCTACTCAGAGTTATTGTAAGATGTAGCTGCTCCTAACGCTCCACCAGGACATTTTTTGGAAATATGTACCAAATCCCCCACATTTGTATGGAGCTTTGAACCTAAGGTCGTCTTGAAGACGGCTTGGTGCACCTCACAGCCTTGTCCTTAAGACCTAAACCTATCTAGTTTCTGACCTACGCACCCGCAAACATGCACAGGCCGCTTCAGGGTGACTATGTCAGTCACCGAGGCATCCGTGACGCCATGGGAACTTCATTAAAACACTGCCATTTCATTAGCCATGGGGCGATCAAGGTCAAGGAAAATGAAATTGTCGAATTGGTCATATCGGGGGGGGGGGGGGCTGCGCGTATATACCGTCCAGAACGGAGGGCGGTTACGCACCGGGCTCGTACACCCTCCAAAACGGAGGGCGCTTACGCACCGGGCTCATACACCCTCCAGAACGGAAGGCGGTTACGCACCGGGCTTATGCACCCTCCAAAAATATTTCAGATGGTTGTACGTGTCAAGCGTACGCGAATCGTCAGCCTTAGAGGGAGGCAAGTGCAAACAAGCAGAATCCCGTGCGAAAAGTCACCTCTATGCGTGGTAGGCATGAAACGATCACGAAATCCATCAACTCACTATAAACCAGTCATATTTTGATCAATAGATGCTCAGGGGCTCTTTACGTGGGTATCGGTTGACCTAACACACTTGCGATATGTCCATGGGTCCTCTTCATTGGTCAAAGGCGTTTCCAATTCTCTGTCACTTGCTTAGGGGCCTACACTCTTGTCGGGGGTCCATCTGATGGCCTGCCTGGGCACACTCAGTCGTTCGAGGACCGTCTACGCTGGGTTTTTTGGTACTTCTGTTTTGAATGGGGGAGGGCCTATGTTTCTGTGGGGGGGGGGGGCTACCTGATAACCTGCTCGGGCACATTCGATCGTTCGGGGGGGGGGGTCTATATTGGGCCTTGGACACGTGCTATCTGAATGGGCCCTACGCACTGGTCGGGGGCCCCTCTGTTCGCCTCCCCAGCCACACTGGATTGCTGGTGGGCCCTGCACATTGGTTCTTGGTGTTTGAATTTGGGGCCCTCTGCCCCTACCTGGGTCATCTGATAACCTGTTCGGGCACCGTTCCATCTTTCAGGGCCCTCCGCACGGGGCTTCAGGTTCTTCTTAATTGAATGGAGGGCCTTAAGCTCCTGTCGGGGCCCCCATCTGATAAGCTGCCCGCGCCCATTCAATCGTGGGGACCTCTACGTCTGATTTTGGGTACTTTCCTTTCTATTGGAGTGCCCTCCGCTCTCTTAAGAGGCCCTATCTGTTAACCTGCTCTGGCGCACTCGTTAATTCGGGGCCCTCTATGTCATGCCATGGGTAATTCATATATTTACGGAAGGCCCTACGTTCTTTCCGGAGCCCCATCTGTTAACCTGTTCAGGCACGCTCGAATATCTCGGGCCCTCCACATTGTGTCTGGGGTATTTCTATCTGAATGGAGGGACCTACGCACTTGTCGGGGACGCCATCTGTTCGCCGCTTCGGCCACACTAGATTGTTCGGGGCCCTATATATTGGGCCTTGGTGTTTAAGTTTAGGGCCCTACTCCTGTGTGGGTCACTTGATAATCTGCTCGGGTATACTCCATCTTTCGGGGTCCTCCGTACTGGGTTTTGGGTACTTTTTATTTGATTAAAGGGCCCTGCGCTCTTGTCGGGCTCCTTCTGATACGCTACTCGGGCACATTCCATCATTCTGGGGCCATTTATTTAGGATCGTTATTTCTTCCCAATCGAATGGAGGACCTTTGGCTCTTGTTGGGAGCCCTATTTTTAACCTGCTCGGGCACGCTCGATCAATCGGGGGCCCTCTACATTGGGTCTTACGTATTTCCTATTTGAATTGAAGGCCCTACGCTTTCACCGGGCCCTACATGTTAACTTGCTCTGATACTGGGTCTTTCGAGGGTCCTCTGCATTGGGTCTTAAATATTTCCTATTTGAATGGAGGACCTTACGCTCTTTTTGGGAGCCTTGTCTGTTAACCTGCTCGGGCAAACTCGATCATCCGGGGGCCCTCTACATTGGGTCTTGAATATTTCCTATTTGAATGGAGGGCCCCAAACTCTTGACGGAGTCCTTGTATGTTACCCTGTTCTGGCGCACTCGATCGTTCAGAGCCCTACACATTGCGTCGTGAGTATGTCTTATTTGAATGGATGGCCCTTTGTTCTTGGCGGGTCCCATTTATT